GCTGCTGCTCCCACGCCCTGTAGGGTAGAGCCTGCGTGGGTGCGCAGCGGCGTGGGAGGACTGCTGCCTCCCTGCCTCCCGTCCCCAGGTGCACCTGCAGGGACTCGCGCGTCTGCCCCATGTCTCGGATGTGGCAGAGGTATCTGTAACTGCTGGTGTAGGCTAAATACAAAATAATGCTCTCTGACAGTTTAAATGCTGAACTCCAGAGTGACAGTGCTCCTCCAGACCCTTTCCCCTGCCCTGGGGAAGCATCCGAGGCACAGGGCTGCCATGCCAGTGTGAACTGTTTTAAAACTGAAGAGAAGATTTTTGTGATGGCCAACTTTGGAGCATTCTGGCCTGTCACAGGTGGGCCATAGGGAATTCCACCAGGGATTTTGGTCTTGGTGGCTGGTTTCTGGACCATCACAGGTTCCTGGTTCTCAGGCTGGGGCAGAACTGCACACTGCAGAGACTTGAAGACCATTTGGACCTAAAGAGGGGACAGCCAGGTCCAGCACAAAGACACTGCTCTTTGGGCATCATGGGCTTCCTGCAGCCTTCTCCTCCTGCTGCCTTTGCAGTGCAGCACGGTGGCAGGAGAAGGCCAGAAGAGTTGTGTGTGTCCCAACTACCTTCACAGACCTTGACCAGCTCCACAGCAATTCGGAGCATGACTCAGGCTCCTCAGCCAGGGAGTTGTCTACACCACAGTCTTGCTCAGACCACTGATGTAGAAGAGCTAATCACCTTCCAAACACCACAGAAGTGAGTGATGTTGCCAGCCTTGTTGCTGCCTTCGCAGCCAGGCTGCAGGTCTTGGGGTGTTTCATGAAGGCAGGGGATGATACTGTTATCTCCACTCATTAGGGTTGTTCTGCTGATCAAACCTTGCTGAGGAGGAGGAGAGAGGCTTCATAGCAACTGTGTGTGGGCACATCATACCACCTGCTGCTGCTGCTGCTTGCAAGGTGGGAGTGACGCCCCGGTGGAGCGGGGAAGTGATGTTTTGCTCCATTCTATTGTTCTTCAAGCAAAGCGTGGGGGAGCAGATGGTGAGAGGGCTGTCCTGGCTGTCCTTGCTTAACTGAGCATTAGGAGACTGCATGGTAAAGGTTTGGAAGAGGAGGCGAGGCAAAGAAAATGGGAAAGCTGACCCTATGGGTAGAGATGAGAGGGTTCACAGAAGGACAACTCCCTCCTGCTTCTCTTCTGAGTGAAGAGAAGAGGCACTTTGCTTAGCTATTTGTGTGGGAGGAACTATGTTGGTAGCTAGCAAATTTAGAGATAAATAGATAGCATCATTAATGAGATCACCTGCTAGAAAAATTAGAAATGTGTGCTGGTGTTTCCCAGTGTTGGGGCTTGGAATAGTGTATGTGAGGATAGGATCTCAAAATAGCACAGAAGCTGCCAGTGTCCAGAGCAGCCCTATGAAAATCACAGAATCACAGAATCATTAAGGTTGGAAAAGACCTTTAAGATCATCAAGTCCAACCACCAACCCAACACCACCATGCCCACTAAACCATGTCCTGAAGTACCACGTCTATAGGTTTTTTGAATACTTCCAGTGATGGTGACTCCACCACCTCCCTGGGCAGCTTGTTCCAATGCTTGACCACTGATTTTCCCCCCTGCTACCAAATCCTGGAAATTTCTGAACAGTGCCACCCCGTTGGGCACAAATCTGTCCCTGTGCCTGCAGCTCAAGCACCCTGAGCCTAATTGCCCACTGCTTGCTCGCTGGCAGCCAGAAACGGGGTACTGCGAAATAGCCCTGCAGTGGCCTTGCTCCACAGGATTTTGACTTCAAAACCTGCGCCACACTCCTTCACTTCTGGCCCCATTATGTGTGGGCTGTGCAAGGTCCGGCTGGTCCAGTGTTGCCCTGGGGAAACGGGGCAGCTTCAACCCATTGCTCTGAGAGCGTCAGCTTGGTGAAATGCGGTTGTGCAGCTGGTGCAGGGTGGACTGATGGCCTCGTTTCTTGCAAAGGCCTAAAATTCATAGAAAGCTAGCAATACTTAGGGTTTTTTAAACACTTTTCATTAGGTTAATTTTATACAGAATCAATTAGGAGCATTTTATGACAGCAAATGTGATATTTGTTAGAAGCAGGCCTTTTAGGAAAGAGTTCTTAATGTTAAAATCTTCCTCCTTCGTCCCACGGGACCGCTCCATCCTTGGCCCCCCTCCCAGCTGTGGAGCACTTGTAAGCACAGACAGTGTCTGGGTGCGCATTTCTTCATGAGTCAGTACCGTTGTATCGTGTAGTGAGACGGAGCTACACGGTGGCACGGTCAGAGACCAGCTGCCACGGGGGGGGGCCCGGCCAGAGCCCAGCTGCCACGGGGAGGGACCGTGCAGTCTCTTCATCGCTCATGTCGTGGACGCAGAGGCAGCAGCATGGCTGGCATTAGCTGCCCAGAAGCGTAGCATTGCTGGGGCTGTAGCGAAGCATTTTGAATTTGGGGTGGCTCTTGGGTGCTTCCGCTTCCCACCACTTAATTCGCCTGCAAGACGCAGAAGCGTCGTATATCCTGGAAGGAGACGCTGCAGGCCACAGCTGCCGCAACAGGCAGCGTGGTAGTGCTGTGCTGCCCCGCTGCCTGCTTCCCTCCCCGCCTGCCTGCTGCCTGCCTGCCATGCCTGCTGCGTGCGGGTGTGCAGGAGCTGCTCTCCGTTCTTGGGAGCAGAGGAGTCGTCAGGCTGGAGCTAAGCTGGAGGGTCCTCGGGAAGACGCTTGGCCCTGCGCAGCGCAGTGCCATCCTCCCCAGAGGCCTGCGGGGACCAGGCTGCCCGAGTAGCCCCCTCTAGCACCTGAGCCAGGAGCTGGAGGCACTGATATTCTCTGCCTTGTGAGCAGATCATAGAAAAGATCAGGTTTAAAATGCTCTAAATACCTCCTTTTAAATGTCTTTTTCTTCCAGTACTTAAAGGGGGCTTATAAGAAAGATGAGGACAGACTTTTCAGCAGGGCCTGTAGTGATAGGACAAGGGGTAACGGTTTTAAACTGAAAGAGGGCAGATTCAGACTAGATCTAAGGAAGAAATTTTTGACAATGAGGGTGGTGAAACCCTGGCACAGGTTGCCCAGAGAGGTGGTAGATGCCCCATCCCTGGAAACATTCCAGGGTCAGGTTGGACGGGGCTCTGAGCAACCTGATCGAGTTGAAGATGTCCCTGCTCATTGTGGAGGGGTTGGACTCGATGACTTTTAAAGGTCCTTTCCAACCCAAACTATTCTATGATTCTGTTATTCTGTGATTCTATGGTTTGCATTGCAATGATGACATAGTACAGGTTACATGGTGGAGTGTACCACGTTCAGAAGTTTATTACAGGAGCCTAGTATATTAATCTTTTACTCTTTTAAAATAAATTTAATCTTTTAAACAGCTTTTAATAAATGGAGGAACATCCTTTCTGTAACTGAAATTGTCCTAACTTAGGGATAATTTAATTAATGAATGTCTGAGCTTGGTGGTTTTTTTTTTAAAAAAGCAAACTAACCAAAACTCCTGTTTTAGTGGTTTCCTAGGTAAGAATCAAGTAATGCTTCCTCCCCTATTCCTGATTTCCTATTAAATCATTTAAACAGCCAGCCTATTCCATTCCTATGCTGTTAGTTGCAATTGTTGCAAATCTCAGCATTATTGGCTACCATACCTCCTTCCCCTAATGTTTTTATATTTGGGTTGATAAGAATTTGGGTTTACTTAGTATTTAATCTGGGTTTTTTTTAATGGCGAATTAAGCTTTGCAACAACATCTCTGGAAATTTAAAGATCAAGATTTTTAGATGCCTTTCTTAAAGACGTGCTGCCACTGAAGCAGGAATCATTTCGGGGAAGTCTGACGGCCTGCATTGAGCAAGATGTCAAACTAAATAATCATAACGGTCTCTGCTGATCTTGGAGTCTATGACTCTGTACTTCCTGCGATTTCTGTAGACCCGTTTATGATGATGGATAAAATCAAACAGAAAGAGCAATCTGTCCATTCTCTCCTATCTACTGCTAGACCCTGTTTCTCACCTTGTTTTGTAAGCACAGATACAAATGGTGCCACAGCAGCAGGGGGATGAGACGAAAAGGTAGATTTGATAATCTCAGAAGCAGGCAGCTTTTGTTCAGCTGCGTGCTTCCACATGTAGAGAGGCATGGAAATGTTTGCTGTTTCTGCAATCAACTTTCCAATACAGGAGGTGTCCCATAATGTCTGACCAATTAATGAAGACGTCTGTTACTTACTGGGGTTCAGCGATCGAACTGTGCGTTGTGCTTCAGAGGCAGAACATTTTGTTCAGATGTTAAGTCTTAATCCAGTTGAGTTAATATGAACAAGATGTTCCTTATGCCAGTTTGGTTTTTAAAATTTTATAGTTATAGGATGAAGTTAATGTACATAAAAGAAAATTACTGTGGATCTGGATTTCTTAATTTTCATTCTGAATTTTGAATTGTTTTATGTTTTCACAAACCACTATTTAAATAGATGATGTTTTTTAGTAAAAAAGAGACAGATGACACTGTTTATATACCTTGGGGTGGAGGGAAGAGAAAGAAATTCTTGGGTTCTATCTACATACTTGTCCTATTTCTGTCAATTTTGATTTTTCTTTCCAGTCTTATGCTGGTGGCAGCTACACAGTGTAATGGCAGTTAGATTGTTGGGCATCTTAGGTACAAGAATAGCAGAACACGGTTCAAGTACAAGATTAATTATTTATATAGAAGGGTACCGATTTTGTTTAGCAGTCATATATGAAATAGTTGACACTGTTCAGAACACACAAAGAACCTATTCTGTTCATGTAAATCTGTGCTCTGAATTTCTAATCCACAATAAAATATCTTATGTCTTTCATATTTCAGTAATAGATTGTTGGAGTTAATCCCTCTTTTATTTAACAATGCTATACTTCTTTTGATGCATTTCAAATTTTAAATAGTGGTTCCATCTTATTCAGAACTATGCAGATACATCACCATTTTTGTGGCATGTATCATTTCATCCAAAGCACTTTGAAGAAATTTGTTTCCCTTGGAAAGATGAACAAGAATCAATGCAGGAATCGACATGTTTAATTTCAGCTCTTGTACTGGAATGCAAATCATGTTTCTTACAGAATATATCTTATGAAATAGCCCTCCACCTGTTCTCCCTACCTCTGCTTTTTAGCTTTGGACTTCTATTAAACTTGCGTACCACAGTAGTCCCCTTGACAGATAGATTTTGATGTATCAGAGCACAGAAATAAGTTTGACACAATCATTTCTGGCTTTCTGGTGTCCACCGAGGAGGGCTGTGCATGTTTGCACAGCACATAACTGTGTGCATTTGTTTCTCTTTCTAACAGCTTTGCATAGCTAACAACATGCCAGCAGAGCATCAGTCCCTTCCTTTACTCATGTTAATGACTGACTTTTAAATCCTCTCATTAAAATCATTAAGTCATCTGGTTGCGAATGGATTACACAATCCCCATTGGCATAACTCAACATTTGACCTCCTAATGGCCTTACCCATAAGGGAAAGAAAGGGTAGCTGTGCAAACTGCCTGTAATGCTGTGTTTCTTTTTCAGGGTTTATGACAGGTCTCAATTAGCATGGTCTTCCCAGCCCAAGACTGATAAAGATCTTGCCTACTGGAGAAGACGAGGACAGGACTTCAGCGTGCTACTGGGCTATTCCCAGAAAGGTGGTGTGGAAATGAAAGGCCTGGCTGCAGCCCCAGGGGCACCCCGGCACACCAAGGAGAGTCAGCTGAAGGTGGGGACGGGCGCAGGGTATGTCAGAAGAAGCGGCTTGCAGGAGAGCTGCGAAGTGCCTGGTGACTGCAAATGGCAAAGTCTGGGAATGGAAAGCTGGAACCAGCCAAAAAAGGTAGGGAGGCAAATGTCCGAGGGTGACAGGGAGAAGCTGCTTCAAGATCTGTATTCACTGACTCTGGGAGACAACATACTGAGCACCCACAACAAGGGGAAATCGCAGTCCTTGCCGAGGGTCCTTTCACCAGAGAGCATGAGGTGCGTTGAAATGCCCTCCCTGACCAACAGTAACAACTCACTTAGCATAACTAAAGCCCCCTCCTATCCCCCAAACAGACTGAGTGTGGAACCAGCCAAGCACCATGAAACTGGAGGCCATTTCCTTCCCCTGGTGAGACCCAAATATGGGAGACCTCTGAAGCCTCCGTCCTATGAACTGCAGCGGCAGATGAGGGCACCTGCAGAAACGACGGGTTTCCAGGACCACTACCAGAAAGATGAATCCGTCTCCTACTTAGCCAAAGTTACTGAGCCAAGGCAAGATGCTTGCATTCAAGACTCTGGTTTGGAGCCCCCGGTCTACGTACCTCCTCCTTCTTACAAATCCCCGCCTCACCAAAACATGACCCCGCATCCCCTCAATGAAGTGCCTAACACTGACACGTATGCCAGCAGCGATCAGCAGGGTCCTGCAGAGCGGGTTGTCCCCTGCCAACGACCAGCCATGAATACTTTTGAAGCAGGGGGTGACCCTTGCAAAGACAACCATCTTCCTCATGGGAAGCAAAGCCATGCAAGGCGCCCTGCTGACTACCTGCGTTCTGTTCAGTATATTCCCTTCAATGATCCTCGGATACGACACATTAAAATTACACCACCAGAAGGTCTGCAGGACAACGCTAAATACACTGAAAATGCATGTAGTCCCAGTTCTGGTGCTTTGCAAGAGAGAGATCTTGAAGTACAGTACAACAGTGCCTTTTTGGATGCATCAAACTTGTCCAACTCTGCAAACGGAGAAAGAACTTCTGACAGCTCCACCCATAGCAACAGATGGTTGGCACCTTCCATCCGAGATCAGGAAAACTGTGCCTTGCCGGACCAAAGAGACAGTTGTAGCACAACTAATCACAGCCCCCATAACGAAGACAGTGCGGAGTACACAAAAGGCAAACTTTGTGTAAGAAATTCACATATGGACAGCACCTGTGAGACTGTTACAAAAGTGAAAAAGTTTGAACCTGGAACTGGGATGCAGAGCAAAAAGAGTTCAAAGAAAAAAATGAATGAAACTATATTTTGTTTGGTCTCTATCCCAGTTAAATCAGAATCCAATCTGCCAGATACAGATAGGAACAACAACATAACCCAGAGCCCTGATAAGAATGGGTTTGATAACAATGGGGCTTTGCAAGAACAAAGTCTCTTAAGTATGTCTTCCACAGACTTGGAGTTACAAGCACTTACAGGAAGCATGACCAATAAAAACGAGTTACAAAAACAAGAGCTGTGGAGACCAGAAGAGTTCAGACAAATGAATGACCTCAGATTTATTCAGCCTACAAAACACAGAGAGCTCAAATACTCTGGCTCCTGGCCAGGTGATCAGTACAAAGACCAGCAGACACAGACCAGTTTCGCTGAAGAACCCAAAAGCCCACCGTTTTTCCATGGTACAAAGCCTGGGCAGCCCAATGGTAAAAAACCACTGTCCCCAAAGCTCCTAGGATGTACAGCATCCAGGATAGGGTCAAAACAGACAGGGTTAACTTCTGATGAGAGAAGCTGCAGACAGAGTGCTTACGGCATGAAGGGTCAGGTGTACCTCAGCCAGTCTAGCAACAGTGCTTTTTCCAAGACTGCCACCTCGGTCCTTCAGGCCCCCTCCCCAAAAGCCCATCAGAGACAGCCTGTGTCTGCCCAGGAAAGGGAAACTGGCCTTCTTTCCAAGGGAGATGTAGTTAAGGGAGAAGCAGGCGCTCCCTGCAACAGTAAAGAGCTGTTTGGGCAGTTCTTGTTGAAGCCTGTAAGTCGCCGTCCCTGGGATGCAATAAGTGAGCTAGAAAGTTTTAACAAGGAGCTGCAAGGGCAGGAGGAGAGCACAAGCAGTGAAGAAGATTTGGAAAGTGCAGTGGTTTCTCTGCAGGCAGGTGCCCTTATGCAGAGGAGGGCATCCAGAAATGAGAAGTCAAACCAGGAGCCAAAACACGGTGGGAAATCAGAAACAGTTGTGCCAGAGGTGCCTGTATTTAAGTCAGGAAGAGTTAAAAGTAAGTCTGAAAGTTGGAGCGTGGGGACAGAGCATGGCGGTAGGCTGGGCTTTGTTGGCTCTCAAGGCTCCTCACAGCCAGGAGGGAGCAGTGAAGGAGTCGGGCCAGCAGATGGAAGTCTGATAACAGAAATGAGGACAGGGGAAGCCAAGAACAGAACAAGCAAGCAGCCAGTTCATGTGGGCCCTCTCAAGAGAGGTTTGTCCAGTAGCCCAAGAAGTTCATGTCACAGTAATCCTTTCAATAACCCTGTCTTGCAGGAGATGAGCGAAGACCAAAATTACCTGGACTTTGTTAAACTAAGCAAAGGTGCAAATCCCACAAATGATATGGTGTTAGAGAGAGGCTCAGTAGTACGCCTGTCACTAACAAAGAGGAACCAAGGGCGCTCTGAGCCAGATTTGAGGTCAGTGGGACTTGATGTTGCTCCAGGACCTCGTGCTAACAATTCTGATCACTCTTCAAATGCAAATGCAGTGGAAATCCCTGTGAATGAGTCATTGCAGGCAAGAGCTGCAAGAATTTTAGGTATAGATATAGCAGTGGAGTCTCTCCTTCCAGATGACCACATAGGGCGCCACCCAGGCACTAGCCCTGCAAACGGTGCCCAGGACTTTGAGTCATCAGTGAGGAGCACAGTAAGTGACAAAGAAGGAAAAAAGGATGGTTCTTACGAAGGCAGACGAAAGTGTGGCTGGACAGAGAGTGCTCTCTTTGTCAGAGCAGGAGGCCGATCTTTATACCCTGATGAATGCCAGACCACTCACCAGGAAGCCAATGCTAAAACACCGGTAACTGAGCAGGTTCTTGAACAACCTGTGAGTCCCCGCCAAGGTGAGGACCAAAACTTGGTTTGCAAGTCAGCTGTGTATCAGCATTCAGAAAAGAGAGTAAGAAGCACCTCAAAAGTGATAGAGACACTCCAAGGCAAGCTTACTTCTCCACCAAGCCGGACTGCCATGGATCGCTTAGTGCGAATGAAAGAAGTTGACTCTGTCTCCCGGATGAGACGTCTGAGCATTAAGAGCGCAGACTCAGGAGAGGAGGTGGATGAGGAGAAGCTGTCGAGGGCACAAGAGGAGAGAGGAAGCAAACTGGCAAGCTCAGGGGCTGTTTCCAAGCGTGTTATCTCTCTCAGTGAAAACGGATATTTAGGTGGAATGGACAAGAAGAAGAGCGACAGAGATTTTTCTTTAGGTAAGACCCTATTATGGGAGATCCAAATGCGTACCATTTCCTTATGTAATGGGCATGATCTGTTTGCTTATGCCCACATAATGCTGCTCAAATAGTAACAGGCTGTAGGTGGTACTACTCCCATCTGGTTGCCACCCCCTTTGCTCTCCTTGTGGAAGAGAAAATGAGTGTTCTCTGATCCCATTTTAGGAAAAGTTACTGTAAAACTCACTTGTGATACTGAAACTCATACACAGAGACTGGAGCACTCCCTGAGGTCTTATCTCTAATTGTTTCGGGGAACTGCCAGCTTCAAATATCAGAGTTCAGAGATAGTCACTCTAGTGCCAGTGTTTGGGAACACGTGGTGATTTAATCATAGCCTCTCCTTGAATACCCATTTTTTCCCCTCTCTAATACTTAAGTCGACACATACTACATCAGAGTTCAGAAGAAACTAAAAATAAAAATCTGATGTTCTTCTGTGAAGCCTCTGGGAAATGGCTGTATTAAGGGGCCTGGAAAATTCTCTCTCTCATGAAAATTTTCCAGATCAGATGTTGAGAATAACTGTTATCCCCAGGTCAAACGGAAAGTTGACTTTTTCAGTGAACACCTTTTTTTTTTTTGTGTGTGTTCCTCATCTCTCAGAAACATATAAACTTGTGTAGTCCATATGCATCCCTAAAGTAACATGAGCTGTTCTCTCTCCAAAACAGTTTTCATACGGCACTGTGTTGAACAATTGAATATCGGTTGTTGCCATAGATCTGTGTAAAGAGCTAAATATCCCAGGCCACCTGTCTAGTCCATTAAATTAATTGGAGTGAGCAAATGTATGGTGTGAAAGTTGTGAAATTAATATTAATCTCCTCCTTCCTTTTTCCATGCTCTGTGTAACAGCTGACACTCTACCTTGAAATCTGCACAGGTTATTCATTAAATATCATCAATATAAATCTGTTCGCAGTTTTCCAGTACAGAGGGGCTGAAATTAAATGGAGCATACTTTAATGTGGATTTATGTATTTCCATCTGAAAAGAATTATTTGTATGAGTTCTAAGTTTTGACTCCTGCAGTCTTGCAGCCTTTCCCTTCATGTCTTTTTCTGTATCCCACAGCTCTGTGTCTTTCTGCTCTGAACTGACTGAAAATCTCTAGACCAGATTTTCCAAACAGGCTAATTTAGCTTCCTTGTACCCATCAGGTCTAGTATGTCCCACGTGCATTTCATATGCTTTCCTCCCTTGGGGTTTCTGCTGGAGTGAAGAAAGTAACTGTTGTGGTGACATGACTTCAGGGATGTATCAAAACAGATTGCGTGTTTTTTATTGGAGAGTTATTCTGCAGTAAATTAGGTCTAAATTTATCCCTTTTGCTGACAATGCCAGGCTTGTATTCTGCAGTGTGTTCCCATTGCAGCAGTTCCCTTGCAGACGTAACAGCCCTCCTCACATCTGCACAGCGTGGATGTCCCTTCCTGCTGCAGTACTGCAGAGTATCGCACGCTCACACAGGGCGGGAAGGTGTCTCCTCCCACCCAAAGACACCCCGATTTATTGATGGCCACAAAATCTTCAGCTTACCTTAGTGGGGCAGAACTGAAGATTCATGTTTGTAGAAAGGCCTGATGTTGTGTCTTCCTCTGTTAACTCGCACTCCGACTTCCAGACTAGTTCACTGCTACTATTGAAAGGAAAAATGAGAATCCTGGAAAACCATTGTATTTGTTGCTTTTAAAGAGTAAATATTGCTAAAGGCCATTGTATTTGGAGTGAGGTAGGGTTATGTTAGTCTTACAATTGCAGACTGGGCCGGTCGCAGAGGGTAGCGCCTTAGCAGAAACCGGTTTTCACATGTATAATGCAGCTTGGCAGATGAACAGTCATCCCTCAGAGTGAGAGCTCTGCCGAAACTCAGTGCAAGAAGCTGCTCTTACTATGCAAATACTGCCATTAGAAGAACATCTCCAAATGTTTCCAAATGCACTGGATGTCTTTTCTCCTTTGCTGTTTGAAGACTGCTTCCATGAGGCTGCTGATCTGGCTTTGTTTCTGTAGAGAGCATTTCAAATGAGCTTAACCAAATGT